AAGACTACAGTAATACTCACTGAAGCACTCACTGGAGATGGGAAAAGAAGAGAAAGGAGCAACTAAGAATGTTTGTTAGCACAGAAGGTAGGGTGTTTGCCTTTCATGCGGCCGACCCAGGTTCGATTCCCAGCATCCCATATGGTCCCCCAAGCACCGCCAGGAGTAATTCCTGAGAGCAGAGCCAGGAGTAACCCCTGTGCAACACTGGGTGTGACCCAAAAAGGAAAAAGCAAAAAAAAAGAGGTTCTTAACCAGTTTTCTGATCTAGCCAACCAAGTGATTGGTCAAAGCAATTTTTTGAGTCACTTCTTTGTACATACAACAGATGGTTATTGAGAACCTATTTTGTGCCAGGTTCTAGATTAGGCACCAGGAACTATAGCAGTGAAGTAAGCAGCACCAATCCCACTGTGATGGTGTTTATACTGGGGAAGGGGAGGGAGAACATAAAAGATGAAGTGAAATGCAAGAATTTGTTGTGGGTAGGGGGAACTCTGACAGAGTGTATTGGTTTCATTTCCTGAATGTTTCCTGTGGTAGTTCAAGTTGAAAATGGATAGCACCTGCATAAACTCCACATTCAGGGGTGAATGTGAAAGATAGAAGGAAGTGGAAATCTTCCCAACGGACAGTGCATCAAGCCATCCACTCTATAGGAACAGCTCAGTAACTGAGAGTATATAAAGATTTCTAGACAGGGCCCAATTTTCAGGGCATTAATCAGGGATCTGTAGAAGAAATGACTAGAAGGTCAGTGATAAAGATATCTGGAGAAGAGATGTAGATCCAAATACAAAAAAAAAAACAGTGGGAATTTGCATGAAAAAGGCAGCAATGGAGGCTACATAGGCCTCAACAACACGGACACACGCAAATATGAATATAGCTACTGGGAGATCTAACCACTCTGCCTCCATTCACCCCATTTAGTTCAGCTACCCCTGCCTCTGAAAATCCAACCTAGCTCAAAAAAGAAATGCCTGTGGCCATCCTCCCTAGTATGGGTATTTCTGGTACAGATTTACGTTTCCTGCACTCAGAGCCTCGGTCACAAACACAGTCTGAGAGATATACCTGAGTCACAGGATATGAGCAAGGGGAAGGTGGATGGAGGGGGCAGTATCTATGCACAGCAAAGGAGATAGGCCAATGGCATCTGATCCGTGGGCTGAATCGCCTATCACTTCCATCCAGAAGCAGCCAGCCTCAAGAACGCTAGAGGAGCTCGCTAGCGCACAACTGAGCATCTGAGCTGCAGGATGTGCAAACGTCAAAGATGTAAGATGAGCCTAAGTTCCTGAACACGCGGGTCCAGAAATCCAGCAGGGGTCTAGGGTGGAGGACAAGGGCCCCCCCCCCCCACTCACCATGATTCCCAGGGATCCCATCGCAATGTTGTGTTTTTCATCGTTACAGCTCAGGGGCTCCGGGTTTCTAAAGTGTACCCACACTCAGGCCAGGCACACAGCAAGTGTCTCACTGGACAACACACCGGAACTACTACTAGGGAATCCTGTGACCGGAGCCCACGTGCTGGTGGTAGTACTTTACCCTTATCAGCAGGAGTTCTGCCTTCCAACAAGCACTAGGATGACCGTGTCCACAGTTAAATGGCAGACAACTTTATGGTAAAATGCATGAGGCGTAAGGCAATTCCGTCATAAAAGAGGGAAAGGGAAAATGGGGAATATTCCAAAAGAGATCACGGAATTTGCACGATTTATAACAAATGCTTGAATGCCTTTTAAGTGTGTGTAGACTTACAGCTAAGTACTTCTTTCCTTTGGTGCACTGGACCTAGGCACTTGGATGACAAGTCTTTAATTTGTTCCCGGTATGGTTGTTTTAGCTTGTATTTTTCTATGCTCATATGTATGCAAGTGTGCAATTAGTGAGGGCAGAGCCAGATTGCATAAATACTCACTTTAGAGAAAAGGTTTCTTATTTTGTTAGTGGGAAAAAATGTAAACTGTGGGTAGTTCCTTTGTTTTGTGGCAGATCAGTTAGGTGGGTGTGGAAATGCTCCTGAGAAAACTGGAAACAGGAACAGTCAGTTTTGGACCGAGCTGGTCTTCTTGGAATCTGCAGGCACTCCCGGTTCCCTCCTGATTTCAGTGCTTTTGAGTCACCAGAAACAATTGCTGCTGCATTGCCCGGGATTCAGCTTCTCAGGATGGAAGGTTTAGGTCACACCACCAGGGAAGAAACCAAGGCCACCTCCAAAAGTTGTTGATGAGGTGGGTCTAGGGTGAAGAGTGAATTAGGAAGAGCACAGTGTGAACCTGAACCCAAGAACATCCTCTTCTAGAGAAAGAGAGAAAAAAGTCCCTGCTATAGTGCCTTTAGGTAGAGGTTGTGTGTGTGTGTTGGGGGGGTGGGAGGGGAGGACAGAAGGGGCGGGAGAGAAACTGGAAACATTGGTGGTGGGAAATGTACACTGGTGAAGGGATGGGGGTTGGAACGTTATAAGACTGAAATCCAATCATGAACAACTTTGCAATTGTGTGTCTCACTGTGATTCAATTAAAAAAATTTTTAATAATTAAAAAAAACTTGCTCTTCTCTATTTTCTCTCAAAAAAGAGGCCCACAAAAACAATAAAATAGTTCCCCCTGTTTGAACAATTACATCTGTGAAGCAACGGTGAGTTTTTGAGGTTATGAAAATGCAGTTTCAGTTATGAAGTACAGGCATCTCCCAGGCAAGAACCCAGAACTGTGCAGAAACTAATGCAAGTTAATTCCCTCATGGGACTCCTCTTACCACAGATCAACTGCCACAGCAGTTTGGCCCACACTTCTTGGCCAAACTTCTAGAAGTTTCTCAGAATGAGAATCCCACCTCTCAGTCTTGTTTTCCTCTCCTCACAGATGTTAGACTCAACAGTCTGAAGACACTTGGTACCTTCACTATTTCCTTCACAGATGTTTCCTCCAATAAATTTCCTATATAGAAAAGCCTGTCTTAAGAGATGAACTATTGGGGCTGAGACAATAGCACAGCGGATAGGGTGTTTGTCTTGCAAGAGGCTGACCCGGGTTCAATCCCTGGCATCCCATATGGTCGGTCCCCCAAGCACCGTCAGGAGTAATTCCTGAGTGCAAAGCCAGGAGTAACCCCTGAGCATTGCTGGGTATGACCCAAAAAATAAAAAAATAAAATAAATTGGCTTCTTTAAAAAAAAGAGAAAGAGATGAACTATTATCTCAAGATCTCACTTTTTCCCTTAAATATAAAGCTTCCTCATATCCCCATGGAAGAAGAGAATACTTAGGTCCAAAACTATCATAAAGTCATATACTCTTGGCCTTACAGGAACTAATTCTCAAACTTGTTGCCATTTTTTAGTATCCCAAATAAACATACATCTGCAACCATATTATATATGTGTATATAATAGATACTTGTGCAACATGTATTCTTTAATAGTGAAATAGCAAAATGTTATAAGCTGAATAGTAATTTGTGGGAGACAAAAGGGGGATAAATAGGAAAAACATTTATAAAGGGGTATAAAGGGGGTTGTTCCTGAGCAGGCCAATCTGGAGCCTAATACTGAAGCTCTAGTTCTCAGGAAACCGTAGAAAGAAATATACAACACCCTAGATATCCCTGAGTAATCAAATTTAATTACCAACTCCTGACCTTCATTGAATACTGCCTCTAGGGAACTCAGCACCTCTTTCCACAAAGGAATAAATAAGATCTCTTAGCTTTTCCCTGTGGCAGAAAAGTAGAGAACGATCAACATTTCTTGCAACATGTTGGAAGCAAACACAGAAACTCTCCCCCAGCTGCAAGTTAGAAGTAGGTAAAGGCAATGTAGTTAAGTCAACAATCCCTTTACTCCATTTTCCAAAGCAAAAAGACTGAGAAATACCAAGGCAGGCCAGGAAGATGATGCAAATGGCAGGAGACACTTGCTCTGCGTGCAGGGCGCCTCTGATTCTCAGCACCAGCCGGTTCCCAAGTATTGCTAGGAATGACCTTCAGCACCACTCAGGGGAGAGGTCCAAAATATCACTGGGTGTGGCCAAAAATAAATACCAAGCCCATTTTACCTCCTTCTCTCAAAAAATCTGAAGGCTTCAGAGTTAAGGTTAATTTCACTAATTTCCCAAATCACAGTATGGAGAATACAAAGAAAAGAAAGCTAGCAAAGTACGGAATAAATAAGCCATTGGTATCTGACTTCTGTATTCAGAGAAAGCTAATCAATAATGCAAACTTCAGCCAGAGTGCTAATACAGCAGGTAGGGCACTGGCCTTGCATGTGGCTGACATGTATTCAATAGTCAGGACCCCATATGATTCTCTGAGCACTGCCAGTGACGATACCTCAGTGTGGAGCCAGGAGTAAGCCCTGAGAGTAGCCATTATGTCCAAAAATAAAATTAAATTAAGAATAATGCAAACGTCCAGTAAAATTTGCATTCCTTTACAATATACAACATGGGTCTACTGTGCTGGCAATTGTACACTTCAGGAACCTTACTCAAGACTGAGAAGCTCCACACCAAATGCTTATAAAATAAGTAAGTGTAAGTGAAATGTCACAGTTACCTGATCTAGAGTATTAGGAAAGTAGTTACTAGTGGTTCTCATATAGGGTTTAGTCTGTGCCCTAAGAAGCATGGTCAAGAGACATTTTTCATTTGACAGAACTGAGGAGGAGGATGCTTCTGGAACACAGTGAGTAGAGCTTAGGGTTAGCATCCTACCACAATTAAAACAGATCCTCTTCTCACCACAAAATATTACTCTGGCCCAAATTATCAAGAGTGCAAAAGCTGAGAGAGCCTGACAAGTAAGAAAGGAACTGGACCAAGGAGAGACTTTTTAAATCTCTGAAGCTGAGCACATGCTTCAGTCCCAGCAGTGCACAGTCCTCCAAGTAGCACCATACTTCTGAGTACAGCCATATGGCTAAGTGTGTCCCCAAAACACAAACCAAAAAAGGTATTTGACTACTAACACAGAAGCATTTAAATTCATACTAACATTTAAAAAAAAAATGTTTAATCACAAATGCTTTGTCCTACATGCCAGCAATACAAAGTGTTGCATTAGTACCACCAAAACCAAAGGAATTGGTGAGTCCAATACATCTTTTTTCAGCTTTCCAATCCTGTGACTTTAGTGGAATATAATTGAGATCAAATTCTGGTTCTGTACAATCCAGGTTTAGGGTAGGTGGCAGTTTTTGATAAAAACAAGCCAGTGCAGTGAACGCTGCCTCCGCCGCCCCTGCAGCTCCCAGCAGATGTCCTGTGGCTCCCTTGGTTGAGGAAACTGCGAGGGCGCGTGCGTGGTCCTTGAAAAGATGCTTGATGGCTTTGTTTTCAGCAGCATCGCCCAACGGGGTGGAAGTAGCGTGTGCGTTGACATAGGTTATCTCTTCAGGGTGCACACCCGCATCTTTTACAGCAGCAGCCATACACCTAATAAAATAAGAAAACTTGTTTAAGAGAAGTTTCATTTTAATGGAGGTTCATTATCTATATGAAAGAATTGGCCAAATACGCTCTATGAGAAAGACTCCTTTGCTCTAAGATCAAAACTACATCTTTGATTACTAGATGAACTAAAATGCTATCTGCATGAGAGAATGTCACCCCTGGTACCAAAGAATTAGTTATCACCATGAAATAAGTACACAGTCTAGAGGTTTTATAATCCCTATTATAAGTATTTTCATTGATTTGAACTGATCTTCGGGGCTGGAGAGATAGCACAGTGGGTAGGGCATTTGCCTTGCATGTGGCTGACCCGGGTTCGATTCCCAGCATCCCATATGGTCCCCTGAGCACCGCTAGGAGTGACTCCTGAGTGCAGAACCAGGAGTGGCCCCTGTGCAATGCCAGGTGTGACCCAAAAATAAAAAGAAAAAAAAAACTGATCTTCTACCATCATTGTCACTGTCCTCCTGTTGTTCATCGATTTGCTCAAGCGGGCCCAATAACGTCTCCATTTTGAGACTTGTTACTGTGTTTGGCATATCAAATACGTCACGGGGAGCTTTACCGTGCAGGCAAGAAACTCTCAGTAGCTTGCCGGGCTCTCCGAGAGGGGCAGAGGAATCAAACCCGGCTCGGCTGGGCTGGCTGCATGAAGGCAAACGCCCTACCGCTGAGCTATCGCTCCAGCCCATGCAGGGAAAAAATCATATTGATACAGCCAAGAATATTTCTTCTAGGAACTCAAAAAAATTTTGTTTCTTTTTAGTCTTTTTGTGTTTTGAACTACACCACCTCTGGCAATGTTCGGGGGTTACTTCTGACTCAGTGCTGGGAGCAAAGGTGTTCAGAGGACCAGAAGGTGACAGGGATCAATTTCAGGACTCCTGCACTTTACAAAGCACGCACTCCAGCTCTTTGAACTATCTCCCCAGCCCTTAAAGGGAGATTTTTTTGTTGCTGTTTATTTTTGGTGTTTTTTTTTTTCTTTTTGGTGTGTGTGTGTGTGTGTGTGAGTGTGTGTGTGTGTGTGTAAAGATTTTAAATCTATGCTTTGATGTTTCTTTCACAGTTAAATGTGAACCTTTACATTTTCCTCAAAAATTAAAAAATGTGTCTACTGTAACTATGCATAAACAACAGGGGAGATGTTCTAAGACACTCGTCATTATCAGTGAATTCTACAAGGCCCTTCAGAGTCTTGATAAATAGAACAACGTAACTAAGCATGAGAAGAGAAGATGCCATCAAGAAGATGGCTGGATAAAGATGTTTTATACATATGAACTCTCAAGCTCATGAAAACTGTCATGGTTACAAGAGAAAAGATAAAAGGTGGGAGGAATAAATGTGTCCTTCTGCAGATGGGCATGTTGAGAATTATACACATAGAAAAGGATGAAGCTGAACCCTTAGATACCATAAGACTGTAAACCAATAATAAGACAATTTAGAGGGGAAAAAATACTGACTAAAATGGAAAAGAAATTCTACTCAACAAGGTCAGATATGATGATATTGCCTGATCTGAGACTCCAATAATGTTGTTACTTGAAGGAAACAAGTAGTCTTTACCTTAAGGCACCTTCTCCTTCAGGATCAGGGGCGGTTATGTGACCAGCATCTCCTGAAAGTCCATAACCCAAAACTTCCGCATAGATCCGAGCCCCTCTTTGAACTGCATGTTCATACTCTTCCAGCACCAGCACAGCTGCGCCTTCTCCCATGACGAAACCATCTCTTTTGGGGTGAAAGGGTCTGCACGCCAACTTAGGATCCGAGTTTGTGCTTAGCGCCCGGGCTCTAGCAAACCCCGCAAGAGATAAGGGACTAATGCAGGAGTCTGTGCCTCCAGCCACCATCACATCAGCATCACCTTGGGCTATAAATCTAAATGAATCGCCCACAGCATGAGCGCCGGTGGTGCAGGCTGTGGATACTGCGTGATTGGGGCCCCTGAGTTTGTATCGGATGCTGACTTGGCCTGCTGCCATATTGATGAGAATTTTAGGGACGAAGAAGGGGCTGATCTTATTGTAACCTTTTGTCTGAAACATCAAGGCAGTTTCGGAAACCACTTCAAGAGGAACCATTCCCATGCCAATCGCAACACCAGTAGCCGCTTGATCTGCTTCCGATTGAGGATACCAGTTGGAGTCCTTCATGGCCAACTCTGCGGCCCCTATGGCCATAATGGTGGGAGAAGACATGACCTTGATGTCTGACTTGGACACAAAGTTTATCTCATTGAACTGACCTTCACCGCTACCTCTTGGCACAAAAGCAGCAACACTACAAGGGATATTCTTGTATTCTTCACCAATCAGTGAAACAATTCCACTTTCTCCCTGGAGAAGACGATCCCATACCAGTTGAGTTCCAACACCAAGAGGAGTTACTAAGCCAATACCTGTAATGACAACCCGTCTGCGGGATCTGGATGTTGGCACGGTTCCAAGAAACCTTTTATTGACTAACAGCTGCCATAATCTTGAATACTGGAGATGAGGGTTTGCCACCTTGAGAAAATTCTGCAAGCAGCCTGACATGGTTGAAATTCAGATGTTCAAAAACACATTCCTGTAATACACAACAGACCCAGATAGCTCTCATTGTAGTTTAAATGAAAGACCTAAGAAAACAATATTCAAGGATCATTTAGGCACTTGATATGAGCTGTTAACAAGCAGAGAAAGTGTTAACATCATTTTACTGCACACACTGCGCACATATCATCAAAATTTGTTTGGGGGCCACACCTGGACACTTCTAAGGGTGCAGGGGAGTGGGGGGAGGTGGGGTACGACACAACCATATGAGGTGCCAGGGATAAAACCCGGGTGGGTTGCAGTCAAGGCAGACTCTTTACCAGCTGTAGTATCACTCAGGCCCCCAAACCATCTGTGTGTATGTAACTTCTTCAGACTTCGGATAGTGTGAGCATACGAAAGGCTGAACTGATGACTCATCAAAATTTATACAAAAGGGGGAAAAAAAGGCCTTCCGGTGTCTGTTAATTATTGCTAGTAACGGCCTTTTCGTCTTTTCCCCCCCAGCATTAAACAGGCCTTTTTCTAGACTGCATTTCTAGGGCTAGCAGCCTATGTTCGCGGCTGGGGCAGGAGAATGTAATTCATCCTCCACGCAGGAAAGTAACCAACCTTACCGGAAACCTTCCCTGGACCTAGGGAGGCCCGTGGTAAATAAGAGACTTTCAAGGCAGGGGGAGGACGGCTCCCTTCCCCGCTCCCAGCGCCGCCAGCAGCGGGAGCCCAGTCGGGGACACTCGTCCTCCCAGTCGCGGACCAGAGAGGCCGCCGGGCAGGGGCGCGGGGCGTGGCCACTGCGTGCCCCGCCCCTAGGGCGCCGCCGCACACCGGAAGGACCCCGAGAAGAGGGGAAAGGGCCTCCGTACCCCGGATCACATTCCGACCGGAGTTTCCCAAGGAGGAGCAGAGGGAGCGGGGCTGGCCGGCCATACCTGTCCGGGGCCTCACGCCGGCCGCGCGGCCGCGGTCCACGAGCACGACTGTCGCGTGCGCAGGCGCAGGCGCACTCACGTCTGCACATGCGCGCGGCCCGGGCCCCGTCCCCTTGTCACCTTGGCTGAGGTCACTGGGAGGGGTGTGTGTGTGAGAGCGTGTGTGTGTGTGTGTGTGTGTGTGTGTGTGTGTGTGTAAGGGGTGAGGCTTTGGGAAATGCCGTGCAACATACTCAACATACTCCGTAAACTCAGTGTGTATGTGTGTGTGTGTGTGTAACGGATGAGGTTTAAGGAAATGCCATGAGATTTACAGTTCTCCTTAAACTGTGTGTGTAAGAATTGTGTGTGTGTAAGAGGGTGTGTGTGTGTAAGGGGTGAAGCTTTGGGAAATGCCGTGCAACATACAGCTCTCCGTAAACTCAGTGTGTGTGTGTGTGTGTGTGTGTGTAAAACGGATGAGGTTTAGGGAAATTCCATGAGATTTACAGTTCTCCTTAAACTCTGTGTGTAAGGAGTGTGTGTGTGTAAGAGGGTGTGTGTGCGTAGGGGGGAGGCTTTGGGAAATGCCATGAGACAGTTCTCCGTAAACTCAGAGTGTGTGTGTGTGTGTGTATGTATGTGTGTGTGTGGTGAGGCTTAGGAAAATGCCATGAGACTTACAGTTCTCCGTAAACTCAGAGTGTGTGTGTGTGTGTGTAGGCATGAGACTTTGGGAAATGCGGAGCACCAAATATCTCCATAAACTCTGTGTGTGTGTGCGTGTGTGTGTGTGTGTGCGTGTGTGTGTGTGTGTGTGTGTGTGTGTGTGTGTCAGGGGTGAGGCTTTGGGAAATGCAGTGCTAGGAACAGTTCTCTGTTAGCTCACCAAAAATTGCTGCTGATGCGACGTGATAGCCTTTTAGCTCATCAGATTTGGGGTGTTTTGTGGTTTGTTTGTTTGTTTTTTCGTAATTATGCTCTCAAAAGGGACACCACATAGGGGACCATGCTTGCAGTACCTGGGGGAAATCAGGCATCCTGCATGTAAAGCATATATGCACGTGGCTCTGCCCGCTGAATTACTTTCCAGTGTCTGAAGTTATTTTTAGTGGTGAATTAGAACTGGAATGTCCAACTTAAGAAAATTGGTTGACAAGCACAAAAATGTGGGAGACATAAACTGTAAAGCCTATGTGTCCAGTTCCATATCTTCTTCTGACGTTTTTAATCATAACAGCATAACTTTGACAACATACATTTGACAAAACAATGTATACCCTGATGTTCTTTTGACGAATGCTCATCCTTTAACTGTTTATACTCTCATTGGTGAGTCTTTCTCTGTGATGAAGTCATTAGGTTGTAACTAATAAAAAATAGAATAAAAGGAGGCCTCTCGCAGTTGCTCTTTGCCTTGAGCCAGATTGAGCCTTGGCCCTTGGTGCTCTTTAAAAAAAAAAAAAAAGAAAATCGGTTGAGGGAGCCTCTGAGCAAGAGTACAGCTGCTGCCTTGCACAGGGAGAGCCAAGTTCAACAGCAGGCACTATATAGTTCCCCCAATCCACAGCCAGGAGTAAGCAATCCCTAAGTATCACTGGATTTTCCCCCAAGACAAAAATCAGAAAAGAAAATGGGGTACATATGAACATTGCACTGTTACCTGCAATAATTATATAAGTGACTTACTGCAGAAGGAAATTGAAACAGTTAGATATAAAATAATCTATACCATTTTTAAAGTTTTTTTAGGATAATCTTTTTAAAAAATTATTTATATTGAATCACTGATTTACAAAGTTGTTCATGGTTGAATTTCAGTCTTATAATGTTCCAACACCCATCCCATGTGTACTTTTCCCTCCACCAGTGGTCCCTGTTTTCCTCCTGCCCTCCACCCCCTCCCACTATGGCAAGCACTTTCTCTCTCTCTCTCTCTCTCTCTCTCTTTTAGAAAGAATTTTAAGGATGTAGATTCATTGTGATATTACCTTCCTTATTTTTGCATATCCTTATTTTCAACAAGAAGTCAAGTTCTTATTTTTTAGAAAGTGTTGCAGATTCTGGGACAGATAGTCACAGCTATTCGGCTTTGATACCCAGCACTGTATACCACCCCTGAGCACCACCAGGAGTGACCCTTGAGCATAGACTCCTGAGTAAGACCTAAGCAACACAGGTGTGCCCCCTCCACACCCCTTGAGCAATATTGCAGATAGAGGAAATCTCATACCCAGTGTCTGACAAGAACAAAGATATTCATTTCTAAGTGCCTGGAAAAAGTCAGTATTAGCTCAGAACTGACTATTCTATAAGGAGAAAAATACAGCATCTTAAAATATAGCATCCTAAAAAGAAAAAAAAACAAAAAACCTGTTCTAATTCCGACTTACTATAGTTTGTTGACCATAAATTTCTCTAGGAAGGTCGTGGCAAACTCATTCTTTTCATTGGTGCCTCTTCTTTTGTCTTTGTACAATGACACTGTGTACATTGATACCTACCTGATTCCTGCTTTTTTAAAGTGTTTCATCAGGCAGCAGCGCTGGAGAAAGAATCACTTTGAGCTGTGTACAGGGTAGCTTTGAGGAATGTGAAGTGAACACAGCTGAGTTGAAGTGGAACAAAGATACCCAGGCCCAGGATTAAAGCAGTGGCAAAGGAGATATGACAGATATTGAGAAAATGTTTATTTTTTATTTTATTTTATTTACTTTTTTGCTTTTTGGGTCACATCCAGTGATGCACAGGGGTTAGTCCTGGCTCTGCACTCAGAAATTATGCCTGGTGGTGCTCGAGGGACCATCTGGGATGCTAGGAATCAAACCCAGATCGGCCACATGCAAGGGCAAACGCCCTACCCACTGTGCTATCACTCTAGCCCTCTTTATTTTTTTTAAATAGCCAAACTAATTTTGGAAAAAAAAAAATTCAGTGAATTATTTCTTTATTCTGTTACATTTAAGAATAGTGCCACCATGTGTCAAGTCTAAAGATGGTATTTTCAATATAGCTGAAATATTAAAAAAAAATTCTGGTGGGGAAAAAAATCAAACAGGAAGTTCATAGCACATTTATTACTAGAATTATTCCCTAATTGTAATGGCTAAAAAGAGATTGATTGAAGCCTCTTATTATCATCAACTTCTCTGAAAATCTGACTTTCAACTTGGAAAGTGGGAAGAAGCTGATAAGACAAACAACAGATCAAAGTCCTGTTATAAATAATATAAATATAATATAAATATGATAAATTCTTATAATAGTTTCATATCTTATGATATTCAAGCGAAACTGTAGTTACTCAAGACCTGCAATTAAAGATTGGTCTAGAGGCTGGATAGGAAGCTCAAAAAGATTGAGTGCATACTTTGCATGCAGGATGGCAAGGTTCCATCCCCAGCACTACCTCATCCCCCACACAATGCAGCAAAAATCTCCAAAAAACAAACGTCCTAGAAATTGGTGCAGAGTAATTTGGAAGAATTTACATTTCAATTGATTTTTTTTTTGAAACTACACAGTTTTTATTTGGAGGTTTTGAAGGGAAGGAGGGAGAGAAAGTGGAAAAGAGTAATCTGCTCTAGAGAGAGCTTGGGTTTTTCCGAGGGCGGAGAGAGCCCCTACATACATCCCAGCACTAGACATGAAAGCATGAAAGTACACATCTCAAGAGGGGAGATGTGGGCGACACATGTGCTCGAGCACCACATGTGCTCGGCCACGTGGGCACAAGCAGCTCATGGCCTCCTGCAGCATATGCGCCTCAATTGATTTTAAAACTCTTGAAATGATTAATTTCACAGATTGCATATCATCATGATATTAATGATATAGCATTGGTTTTCAAAATGTACTTAAAAGGCCCCCCCACAAAGGTAAATTAAAGCTATAATTTCCTAGAGGAAAACTGGATGATATTATGACCCTCTTCGCTCCACAGTCCAGCATTAATTCTAGAACACTTCTACTTCAGAGTTCTGTATATACTGGTTTTCATCCTATATTTTAATTTGAAAGAAATGTGTTCTATTTGAGGACCAGAGTGATAGTACAGCTTGTAGGGTGCTTTCTTTGCACATGGCCGACCTTGGTTCAATCCTCAGCATTCCATATGGTTTCTTGAACCCCACCAAGAATGATCCTTAAGCACAGAGCCAGAAGCCCTGAGCACCACTAGGAGTGGCCCCTCAAAAAACAAGTGTTCTGTTGGGCCAGAGAGATAGCCCAATGGGCTCTTTCTTGCACTTGTTGTGCATGCAGGAGGTCTAAGACATGACATGGCATGATATGGTTCCCCCAGTACCATCAGGATTACACATGAGAACTGAGCCAGGAGGCCTCCAAGTACCACAAGTACCACGTACTTCCAAGTACCAAAACAACAACAAAAGGTAAAATTTTGTTTTGAAAAAATCATAAATGTTATGTAGTATATAAAAAAACATTATTATTATACATAAATATGCTAATAGAAAAACAAATTCAAATTGAGGGGAAAATAGTTTGTGGTAGATAGCTTAGTTATAACCCAATATCCCCACCTTTGTAGTTTAGAATTATGAGTAGTGCCTGTTCAACTAGGAACCAAATTTCTCAGCATCAATCCTTTTATCTAAGTGGACTCATTCTTGCCAATGATAAGGGAGAGAAAATACCCATTATCTTTCTGGGATCATGTGATTAAGAAATAGTATTTCTTTTCTTTTCTTTTTTTCTTTTTTCGGTCAAACAACCAATTAAATGCAGAAGTTTCTGAAACTCTCTGGCAGGAGTTAGCAAATTATAAGTCAGATTTCCAACCCCCTATTTTTTTCTAAAGTCTCACTCATAACCTTGTTACACTATCTCTGAGTAATAAAACATCAAGTCTTATTTCTGCAGCACAGGGGAGAATGACTTGCAGGAGAAGGGGCTGTTCTGGTCACATTGGATGCTGCTGGACGGTTTGATTCATCTCTGGCTGCTTTCAGGAACAGTGTTGGTACTTAGCACTAGACTTCCTTACTAACATTTTACTAGAATGATTGGATAATTCTCTTAGAAGCTTATACTTTGTTACTGGGTTGTTTTATCTCATTTTCACTTGAACATTACAGGGAATGCAGTATTTTAATTGTAACTATACCAGTATCTTTATCTAGAGGCCTTGCTCCCATTTTTGTTTTTAAGAAATTTTCATTGCTAAAACAGGCTGGATTAAATTTTTTCCTTCCAGTTGGTTTACCAAATACTCTGTATCTTTGGAACTTTGAAATGGTAAATATTCATGATATATAAAGAAGCATGATACATGAACATATGATCTTAAGAACATAATGGATGTTTAGTTGTGTAGGGAAACAGGACCTAGAAGGACGATCACAATCACGATCATCCTGTTGTTCGTCAATTGTCTCAAGCAGGCACCAGTAACGTCTCCTTCTTCCTAGCCCTGAGATTTTAAGAGAGCCATTTCAATGCTCTTTCAGGATTAGGAGGATGAGACCCATCATTGTTACTGGTATTTGGCATATTGAGTATGACACGGGAAGTTTGCCAGACTCTGCCGTGTGGGCAGGATACTTTTTGTAGCCTGCCAGGTTCTCCAAAGGAAAGATATTAAGATGTCCGGGAGCTGGGTTTTACAGTCTCTGTGTCTTGGCCGTTGATGGGACCAACCTGGCTCTGTCGGCAGCTGGGGGGTGTGACGCCTACCTACTGGAAGATGGGGGGTCTGGTTGGAGAAGGCCCAGTCCCAATCCGAGTAGGCTTGGAGACCTCAGCCCCGGGACCCGCATGCCTGGGTTCCTCTGCCAGTTCTTTCATGCATGAGGCCCGTCCGGACGTGTGGAGAGTGGTCCCAGCATGGCCGTGGCTGGCTCCGGAGGTCCTCAGCTGCTGGGGCTCTGCTCGGGGTGGGGTGGGGGAGTAGGGAAACTCAATCCTCCCCCCTCCAAGGCGCCCCAATGATGACAGCCAGGCGCGGGGACAGGAGACTCTGAACATATGAACATATGATCTTAAGAACATAATGGATGTTTAGTTGTGTAGGGAAATGGGACCTAGAAGGACATGCCAGACATAACTGCATGTAATTGTGTATGACTGTTCTTCGGTTCTTTTTTCTATTTCCTATTCACATGTTAACTTCCAAAAAAAATAATATTTTAAAAACCTGGAAAAAAATAAAGTCTCACTGAGGAATCAGGAAGATAGTTAAAGTGGTAGAGTACATGTCTAGCTATCTGAAGACCGAAATGTGAACTCCAAATTGTAAGGTCCCCTGAGCATCTCTGGGTATATCCTTGGTGCCCCATAAAGCACTGAAGTATTAGGCCCATACCACTAGGCCAAACTATGCCAGACTGAATTCAGGTTCTCCAGCCAGCAGAATCTTAATCCATCTTCTGCCTCACTCTGCCCTTGTTGGGTGTGGCTTCTATTTTAAAAAGAAGTGAATACTTAATATGACATTAGATAACGAAAAATCAGTTTTTTTCTTACATTGTATGTGTCAGGCAGTATTTTAGATACTGGGGATAGAGTAGGTGAGTGAGGAGAAGGAAGAGAAAAAGGAAGTACTAGATGCCAGACTCTGGGAGGCCATGTAGTGCTGGGATCAAACCCAGGTCTCAGGCATGCAATGCATGTACTCCAACCTTTGCGGTATCTTACTGGCTATAAGAAAGTGTCATTGAAACCATACCTACTCACTTAAAAATACTTTCAATGAAATTACAAATTCAGAGGCAGAGTTAAAAAGCTGGACAAATTCTTCCAAACATACTACATACTGGAAAATACATCTCACAAGTATCTAGGCAGATTAATGGTGATTGAAGTGGATGGCATAGCTCAGGATTTTGCTGAGAACTTGAAAAAAAGTTCAGATATTAAAATCAAACAAAGATAAAACATCAAAAGCATTTAAAGAGCTACTTAGAGAAATAAAAATCACATGTTCAGAACACAAGGCCAAGAGAAAAGAAATATTTCTTAGCAAGGGATATTCAAAGGGCTGAGTTCATGCCTTATATGCTGAAGTCCTGGTTCTTTTCTTGGCATCATGGGGTCCCCCATCACCTCTGAGGGGAGACCCTTAGTACCATACCAAGAGTAGCACTCAGTACCTCAGAATGTTTTCCAGAAACCAAAAAAAAAAAAGGAAGAAAGAAAAATATGTGTTAAAGTGGAGAAAAGAATTTCTGCAAAGGAAGCCGATGTTAAAGTGCACTTCAAGGGCAGAGTGAAGCAGAAGATGGATAAGCTTCATCTTGTAAAAGGAATCAAGGATGCTGATAGCATCGTCTACCTGCAAAACAGTCACAAAATAATGCATGCCCTTACTATGCAGGATGCACTTTTTTTCCCCCTTCCTTGTTCTCCTCATTCTATTTTTGTTCTTGTGTGTTTTGTGCTGATGACAACACAAACTGAATTCTCGGCCCACTAATATAAGTCCAGGCTGGAGCGATAGCACAGCAGTAGGGTGTTCTCCTTACAAGCGGCCAACATGGCCGACCGGAGTTCGATTCCTCCGCCCCTCTCGGAGAGCCCAGCAAGCTACCGAGAGTATTCGATATGCCAGACACAGTAACAACAAAGTCTCCAATGGAGACATTACTGGGCCCGCTCGAGCAAATCGACGATCAACGGGAGGGCATTTACCTTAATATAAGTCCAACCTTGCTGTCTTGTGAAACAAAAAGGAAAAAAAATCCAAAAAAAACAAAAAACTCACATCTTTACAAAGACAAGATTTGTATAGACCTCAGACTATTTGAGGTGGAGCTTATACAGAGACTTTCAATCATTCACTTCATTTTGCTGACAGAACCCCCACCCCCAACCCCCACCCTTTACAGCCACGCCTTTGTTTCTGCACCTGTGTGTCGCTCTTTCAGGGGATCTTTCACTCACAACCCTCTGGGAAACCACAAGCGCGGAGAACAAGGAAGGGGGCAAAAGTGCATCTTGCATCGTAAAGACATGCATTATTTTGTGACCGTTTTGCAGGTAGATGATGCTATCAGCATCCTTGATTCCTTTTCCAAGATGAATCTTAATCCATCTTCTGCCTCACTCTGCCCTTGGAAATGCGCTTTAACATCGCCTTCCTTTGCAGAAATTCTTTTCTCTACCTGCACACAAATTTTTCAATACCTAGGGTGGTCTGAGGTCACGGGGGGGGGGGGGGGGGGGGGAGGGGGGCGGGAAGCCGATCCCGTAATACCAGTGGCCTTTCCTCACCTTTGTGACTGTTCTCCCGGAGCCTCCGGCCCTTGGCCCCGCCCCTCGAGCCGAAGCTCCACCCCCGGACCTGCAAGCCCCGCCCCCTAACCCCGGAACCCCGTCGGGCTCCCGGACTGGCACCGCCTGGGTCAGCACCAGCATCCCGGGTGCGGACGACGACCGGGCGCCCCAGCTCCTGTGATCGGAGCCCTCCCCGCTGCCCCCAGCCCGTCACCGTCTCCGACCGCCCCGCAGCGCCCTGTCCCTCCGCGCCCCGGCTGCGCCGCAGAGGCGGCCGCGCGCTCGGCGCCTGCTCAGTGTGGGCCGCGGCGCGCGAGGGGCGGCGACGGCCGCGGGTGCCCGAGCATGGCGGCGGCCGCGGCGCTGGACAGCCCGTCGGGGGCCGCTTCCCCGGCCGTGGCCGAGCTCTGCCAGAACCCCCCGGAGACCTTCCTGGAGGCCTCCAAGTTGTTGCTCACCTACGCGGACAACATCCTCAGGTACGGGACTGCGGGGTGGTCCGGCGGCCGGGGCGCGGCTTCCTGCCCCGCCGGGATTGGCGGAGCGGGGTGGCAGGAGGCCGGCGAATGTACACCCGGCGCCGGCCCTTGGGGGACAGTGGGGCGAAGGGGCAGGTCCCTGAGCCTCAGCCCCGCATCGACTCGGGGTCTCGAGGTCACCGAGACCCTCCCCTGCTGCCCCTCCCCGCCCCGATCCCGCCCGAGAAGAGGAAGTTTCTTTGCACTTTGGACTTGGTACCAGATGTTGGGGTGCACCAGGCTGAGCTGGAGGTGCTGGGGATCCAACCGGGGGGTGGTGGTGGGAGAGGGGTGGGCGTGCCCCCCGACCCTGGCTTCTGCTCTAAAAAACGAGCCGAGCTGCGTGTCTGTCTCTCCGCCTGGACTGGACCGAACGGGCCCTCGCCTGGCCACGTTCTTCATCTGACCGGCACGTTTTCGTCCCTGGCCGGATTTGGACGTCCCACCACGAAACCCAGCTACCACTGGAGCGGTGGAGTCTATTCATTTCGGTTTCCATCTTTCCTCCTTTTTTTTTGGCCCACCTTTCTCCGCCGATTGAAGTTTTGAGCATGCAACTTTAAAGCTCGTTTTCATGTTCGTCTCTGTATTGTTGTTTTTTTTTCCCCTCTTCCCAGTAGCACCTTTAATTCAATCACCGTTAGTAAAGATAGTGCAACGAGTAAGGTACTCATTACGTGCACGCAGCTGACCCTGGTTTGATCCCCAACACCACGTCGGGTCCTATGAGCCCCATCAGGAGTGATCCCTGAGTACAGAGACCAGAGTAAGCCCTGAGCACAGCCCAAGGTGTGCCCCCGGAACAAATGAATAAAAAGTAAAGGTAGTGGGTCCAGAACGATAGTACAGTCAGTAGGGCGTTTGCTTTGCACAGGGCCCACCCGGGTTTAATCCCTGCCATCCCATTTCGTCCCCCAAGCACCGCCAGGAGTAATTCCTGAGTGCAGAGCCAGAAGTAACCCCAGAGTATAGCTGGTTGTGACCCCAAAAGCAAAAAACAAAATGGTAGTAACCTTGGATTACCTGTTCTGTTCTCTGCAAGTGAAAAAGTTCTTCTGGGAGTCTAAAATCTTGCTGACTTGGAGAGTTGGGAGGTTTACGATTATCCAGTTTGAGTCACTTTCCCCACCTCAACTCTTTAGATGAAAATGGTGTGCTTCTGATATGATGGGACTTGGGGTGAAATGGGGTGGAGGTTAAAGCAACTCCAGGTGCTGGCTTCTAAAGTAGTGATAGCCTCATTTATCCAGTGACCAAGATCTTGGAGAGTCTCTGTGTCCCTCTCAGTACACCTCTTCCTCTCCCCAGCAACCCCCCTCCCCTCCCCATCATCATTAGTCTAATTCCTTTCAGCCTCAAGGTTACAGATTGCCTGTGACCCAATTTGAGTGACTTGGATACACCGGCAGTATTCAAACACATGGCCATTTCAGTGTTGTTTGTGGAAGGAAAGTTAATGATTGTAAAAGTTGAAAGGGGGGGAAAAAAGTTCTGATTCTTCGTTGTGTTCTGATGGCTATGAAATGTAGAGTGTGCTCACCACACACAATTGTGACCTAGCTGGGAACTGCCGCCCTCCTCTGTGCTAGCCTGTCCAGCCACCTTGTGTACTTTGGGAGTTCTCACCATTCTCCTCTCCCATGAGGGTGCTCCGGGGACTCTGCATGAGTGAGTGAGCTCACAGGCTGAGTTCTTCAGAACCTCCACTCTACTTAAATCCCACCATTGAGAAAAGAGAGGTGCTTTGTCATGGAAAGTCACTTTTGCTTTCAGTCTTGAGCCTTTTCAACCCAAAATGCTGAGGGGGGAAAAATTATGCTACTTTGAGCATGAAAATTCTTTGCATTCAAACCATGACTTGGCATCTTAAGTGTCATTGTGAATAGTTTAACCAAACTCAGAAGAAATTGACATGCTGTCAGTGCATGTTAGTTTAAAAGGCCCTGTATTGTGATCTTTAAAAGGTTTTGTCAAAAGGCAGCTGAGGAGACTGGAACTCAGAGATCTGAAACTCCCCTTTTTCGGTTTGTATTAAGTAACAATACTAGTCCTTGGCTTTATAGTCTTATCTTAGAATTCAAGCCTGAATCCTCTCTTGAACATAGCTCTTGCTAGTTCTTTGTTTCTCTGCTTACCTGTTTCCACTCTGGAGAAGACAGTGTTCTCTATTGAACACATCCTTCTCTCTTTTCTCTAACAAAATATGTTCCAATAAAAATTATTTTTCTGGGCCAGAGTGATAATACAGCGTGTAGAGCCATTTGCCTCGCATGCGACCAGCCTGGGTTCAATTCCTGGCATCCCATATGGCTCCCTGAATCCTGCCACGTGTGAACCCTGAGCCGAGAGCCAGAATTAAGTCCTTGAGTACTGTGACCCCATTCCACCTCACAACTTCCCCCTCCCCCCAAAAAAGAAAAGAATTGAAACTCAGGTTTGGGGAGTAGAAGACACCTTTTCTTTTGGGGGGGAGGGGAGAGAGGGGAGAGGTATAGCTGTCATTGCTTGCGGACTGTCCCAGTGTAAGACTCAGAGTGAGATCATCCTGATGATCCTTGCAGTGCTCAGGAATTGATCCCAGGGCTCCCATAGGCAAAGCCTGTGGTCCAGCACTTTGAGCTATTTCTGAGGACCAAAACCACTCTTCCCTGCCAATAATGATTCACTCACCTCTTTTTTTTCCCTTTATTTTATTTTATTTTTTTTACAGTTGTAGATTTACCATTTTTTGTGCTTTGGTTTCAATTATACAATGATCAGATACCCATCCCTCCACCAGTGCCCATTTTCCACCACCATGGATAATATCCCTCCCACCCCCATCCCCCCATCCCCCCTGTCTCTGTGGCAGGGCAATCCCCTGTGTTCTCTCTCTCCTTTTGGGTGTTGTGGTCTGCAAAAGAGGCATTGAGTGGCAAACATGTTCAGTCCATAGTCTACTTTCGACATGCATCTCCCCTCCTGGGAGGATCCTCCAAACATCCTTTATTTGGTGCTCCCTTCTCTATCTGAACTGCGCTTTCCTCTAGGATACCCGGCTGGCCTCTAAGTTATGGAGTAATCCTCCTGGTGCTGATCTCAGCTATTCTTGGGTATTAATCTCATACTTTGTTACTTTATATCCCCCAAATGAATGCAATCTTTCTATGTCTATCCCTCTCTTTCTGACTCATTTCGCTTAGCATGATACTTTCCATATTGTACCACTTGTATGTAAATTTCATGACTTCATCTTTTCTAAGAGCTACATAGTACTCCATTGTGTAGATGTACCAAAGTTTCTTTAACCAGTCATCTGTTCTTGGGCATTCAGGTTTCTTCCAGTTTCTGGCTGTTTTAAAGAGTGCTGCAATGAACAAACAAGTGCAGATGTCACTTCGACTATACATTTTTGCCTCTCTGGGATATATTCCCAGGAGTGGTATTGCTGGGTCAAATGGGAGCTCAATTTCTAATTTTTTGAGAACTGTCCATACTGTTTTCCAGAAGGGCTGAACCAGTCGACATTCCCACCAACAATGAAGGAGTGTCCCTTTCTCGCCACATCCACGCCAGCATCGGTTGCTTTTGTTCTTTTGAATGTGGGCCAGTCTCTGAGGTGTGAGATGGTATCTCATTGTGGTTTTGATCTGCATCTCCCTGATGATTAATGATGTAGAGCATTTTCTCATGTGCTTTTTTGCCATTCGGATTTCTTCTTTGAGAAAGTTTCTGTTCATTTCATTGCCCCATTTTTGGATGGGGTTGGATGTTTTCTTCTTGTGGAGTTTAACCAGTATTTTGTATATCCTGGATATCAACCCCTTGTCAGATGTGTATGTGGTGAATATCCTTTCCCATTCTGTAGACTGTCTTTGTATTTTGGTCACTGTTTCTTTGGAGGTGCAGAAGCTTCTTAGTTTAAGATAGTCCCATTTATCTATCTCTGTTTTCACTTGCTCAGCCAGTGGTGTGGCATCTTTGAAGATACCATTAGCTTCAATGTCATGGAGGGTTTTGCCAACTTTATCTTCAATGTTCCTTATGGTTTCTGGTCTGATGTTGAGGTCTTTAATCCATTTTGATCTTACTTTTGTACATGGTGATTCACTCACCTCTTTAACAGAAAGCTCCACATCTCTTGGATTCTTAGCCATGCTACTTCTTCTAACTTGATAATAGAGAAAACCCAAAGTTTGCTGTTTTCTAGAATGTATCAGCTTAAAGATCAAAACTGTGAAAAGCGAGACATTTTGGAATCCCTTGCTCCTGTCTCTAGGTCTGACGTAGTATTTTGTAGAAAGTGTTAAAATGAGATAGGTTGAGATAGTTTTCAGATTTCACTTTTAGGTGATGTTTATTCTATTTCCTAAGAAACTATAGAATAAAATCTGTGCTAATTTTCTTTTTTTTTTTAATTTTAATTAGTGAGACACCATAAGGTACAGTTGTATACTTGCAAAGTTTGTGCTTGGGTTTCAATTATGTGCTAATTTTCATGTACAATATACCATGGGAGTTGGACTTTTTTTTTAAACTTTTTTTTTATCAAGTGACTTTAGTCAAAGATGATTCTTTTCAGTAATATCTGCATTTTCAATGATTGCTAGTCATATGAATTTTGTAGATTATTTCTTATTTTCTGTATTTCATTTTTAAAATGGTGCAGAGAACATCTGTTTGGCTTGATAGACAAGATTGTTGTAGTTTCTAGACCCAATTTGGATGAGTTTCATGTGGAATAATGATAGTAAGACTTAGGTTCCATTTGTAAACTATTTTGGCAATTGTGAGAATAAATGTGTGTAGAATGGTGAGCAAAGTAAGCAGGAACTGGCAGTTTCTTTTTTTGTTTGTGTTGGGGCCACACCTAGCAGTATTCAGGGGTTACTCTTAGTTCTGCACTCAGGATTACTCCTTGTGCTGCTCAGTAGACCACTTGGGATTGGCCACATGCAAAGGAAGTGCCCTACCTCTGTACTACCTCTCCGTCCCAGGAACTGGCAATTCTTGATCACAAAACAAATGGAAGTAGTTAGAAGACAAACTGTGAAAAGACAAAATAACTGAAAATAATTTCAGCTTTCTAATCCAATATTGACACCTGAAGAAATTGAGAATATTTAGGATTGATGAGTTTGGTGGCAGCTTATGTGATGAAGGATATTTTAGCTTTGTAATCAGACAGTGATATGAATCCCAGTCAATTATTTACTAAGACTGTGATTATAAGCCATTGATGATTCCATGTCACTGTCACTGTCCTCTTGTTGGTCATCGATTTGCTCAAGCGGGCCCAGTAACATCTCCATTGTGACACTTGTTACTGTGTTTGGCATATCGAATACGTCACAGGTAGCTTGCCAGGCTTTGCCATGCGGGTGAGATACTCTCGGTAGCTTGCCAGGCTCTCCGAGAGGACCAGAGGAATCAAACCTGGGTCAGCCAGGTCAGATGATTCCTTGTAAGACCTGCTAAATCATGTGGTCTGGCCCTGTTACACGCAGCTGTGCTTCCTATCCGCTGTCCTTCGACCTGTATTGTCTGAATGGCCCTTGGCAGAAGAAGGTTCCCCATCTCTGTTCTAGGCTTTATTTTCCTCATTTATTTTTTGGACTATACTTGGTGGTGCTCAGGGCTTCCTCCTGCTTCTGTGCTGAGGAATCACTCTTCGCAGTGCTTGGGGGAACATGTGGGCTGCTTGTAAGGCAGGCTGTCTGCCTGCTCCTCTCTGCCCTTCCCACTGTACTATCTCTTCAGCCCCCTAATTTCCATATTTTTTAGAAGCAGAGAAAATCGAATTGCCAGAGACAGACACAGATAAAGATCTGGAGTTGTTGCTGGTAATGTCTCCTTACTGTTATTCAGTTTTACTTATTAAACCAGCTACATTAACTGTACAAGTTTTCTTTGCTTCCTCTTACAGATGGAGCCAGAGATGGTTCCCATATGGTTCTAAAGGCAGATAGATGGTTTTGAAAATATATGTTTATCTCAAAATAACAGATTTTCAGAAGAACTAGGAAAACAATTTTATGATCTGCAAACCAACTTTTGTGATTAGTAATAAAAATAAAAGATTATAGGATGCCCCCATGTAAATTTTCATTTGTGTGAACCTGGGATTATGTATTCTAAAGAGAACGAGAACTAGTAAGCTTATATATTTACTTCTTGGCATTTTCTGAAGTTTTTAAATTAAGTATTTAAATTTTCTTTTCCTGACATGCTGTATGATCAGTGTGAGGCCTTCTTTCAAAATAGAAAACATGACTCTTATTTTTAAAATCATCTCCCTAAAAACAGGCTAATTTCCTATAAATTAAGAAATTTTATATATAATTTGGGGTAAGACAACTAGGAAGACACCAAAATGTTATAGTTGAGTGTGAGGAACAGAAAATTTTGTTGCCCTTTTAAGACACCATTTTTCAATATCATCACAAAATAGTCCTGTCCTGACCTCCCAAAATCTCAAGCAAAGATGCAAAAGAATTACTAACATAAACAAATAAGGTAAAAATTACAAGATGTAGTATAATTAATGGCAAGCAGAGGTAAAAGAAAGAATATTGAAAAGATTATTTTAAAAATATTTTTAATTTAATAAAAGATGATGATCATGCGAATAAAGGGATACTTTAGACAGCAGGTAAAGAGAAAAGTGTTTGTGTGGCACTATTCCAAGGACAGGAAATGGAATCTGATGGATTTGAAATTCAATGACCCTTTGGCCATGTTCTTCAGTCTTTGAGGGCTTCCAGGGACTCTTTTGGCATCACTTGAGATTGTGACTGTTGTGCTCACCATATTTTATAAAGAAGAAAATGGGTTTGGAAGCTGAACTGAACTGCCATTGCCCAACCCTATGTGCAATAAACTATGGTGAGAAAAAGATACGGATAATATGTGAAGTTCTTAGATGTCATAATTAGAAAATTGCTCACTAGAAATTACAAAGAGAAATCTAAATGAGGACTTGGAGATAGGGAGTAACACTGGGCATCTAACGCTGGGCCTCACATATGCCAAGCAAGTGCTTTACCACTGAGCTGCATCCCCAGTTAGGAAGAAAACTCTATAAACAGTACAAAGTCTGTACAGTAGTTGCTTTGAAACATGTCTGAACATGATAAATATAGAATTCATTAAGTTTCATAAGAATTTTTAAGTGGTGATGAAAGAGAAAAGAAAAATAGAAAATTAAGCTCAGTGATCATGTAAGAAATCTTGAATCTATTAGGGGAAGAAAAAAGATTTAAAAGAATTCAAGAGGTTTTGTATCAGTAGGTTATATCATCTTGGTGGTACTGATAATTTGTGGAATTATTATGAGTTGAATCCCGAGACGCTGCCTCATTTGTTTGTAACTAGCTTTGATAAGTGTAGGATTTAGTGATAGGAAGAGAGACACGTTTGTGATACAGTACAGTGTGGAAATCAGGGCTGTTAAACATTTTGCAGAGCACAGAGCAGCCCCAACTTCATCCCCATCAAAAGCCCTAAATGCCAGTAAGCACAATTGACAAACCCTGAAATACTGTGCAGAATAAAAGATACTACACATTCTTTTCTTTGTGTTTTAATTAGCTGTCATTCTCAAATCACTGAAGAACATTTTTAATATATATAATTTTTAACGTTACTGGGGCCTGCTCGAGGCAATCGACAAATAACAGGATGTTCGTGATCGTGATAATTTTTAACTAATATATATATATATATATATATATATATATATTTAACCACAGTTAGCAGTGTTCAGGCTACTTTTTCCTTTGTGATCAGGGATCGATCCTGTATGTATTCAAGGACCATATGTGGTGCCAGGGATTGACCCTGGCTTGACTATAAGCAAGGCAAAGCGCCCTATCCATTGTACTCTGGCCGCTTGTTCTTCCTTTTTTTATTTTCCATCTGTTGTGGACCTATGACTTTTGTAAAAACACAGTGAAATTTTCCTGGGAGAATTACATTACTATAAAACCTTTCCTGTACTTCAAATTAATTGGCATAGTGCTTGTAGATCAGCGCTAATCTGCACGTTTTAAGTAATACATTATAGCATTTTGGTCTCTGAATATTCTGTAGTAAACGTGTAATTTTCTAAAATTAAGATAGAGGGATTTTTTTCCTTTTTGGGGGGGGCACACCCGGCGATGCACAGGGGTTACTCCTGGCCCTGCACTCAGGAATTACCCCGGCAGTGCTTAGGGGACCATATGGGATACTGGGGATCAAACCTAGGTTGGTCACATGCAAGGCAAATGCCCTACCCGTTGTGCTATTGCTTCAGCCCCTAGAGGGATTTTGCTTTTAAAAGATTCAGTGCAGGAGAGATCAAATGGATTGGAGCACAGGCTTTGCATGCAAGAGGCCAGGGTTTGATACCTGACACCTCATGGTTCCCCCAGCACAACCAGGAGTTGCCCCTGTGCGTTGCCAGGTGTATTTCCCCCTCACTCAAAAGAACAGAAACAAGGTTCATGGAGAATTTATTACAACTTGGTGGTAAAGAATTGCTTGGTGGACAATAAAAACAAAATTTTGAAGCTTCCATAGTTTAAAATCCTCTTTCTGGTTTTGTTTTTATATTCCAGTAGTTGGAAAACATGTATAGTTAGGGCAAGATAGTTATCAATTACTGCTATTTGATTGATTGATCATAGCTAATCAAATCTTCATTTCATACTCCAATCGACCTCAGCATCCTTTTGAGGGATCCCTGACAGTTTCAGAATCCTTCTTAATAGTGTTGGTGTTTGATCTGAAACCTTATCCAAAACTGTTCTGAACATCTTTTTTTTGAGTATAATATAGTGACTGCCTTAACTTTGTCTTCTTTCTAATTTTTTTTACAGCCATTCTGATATAATCAAGGTTACTAAAATATCTTTTGTTTGTGTTGTCTTTTCCCATGTTTCCTATTGGAAATATTGATCATTGCAAAAAAACTTACTATCCTAATTATATATACACATATATATTTTTATTACCATACAGCCTATGGAAAATATATATCGCACTAGAAAACAATCATTTGGCTCTTAGAAAATGAAGTATTTATAACGGCATACATTAGTATTGTTAGAAGTGAACTTTTCTAGCTTCCTTTCTTTAGTATGGGCACATCTGGGTCTGGGAGGATAGTTCAAAGGATCAGGGGTACTTATTTGCTGGCTCAGGACCTGGGTTCCATCCCTGGCATTGCATGTCTTCCTGGCATTGCTGACAGTAGTTCTGAAAACCTCTCAAGCACCACCAGGTGTGACCCCTGAGCACTGCCAGGTTGCACTGATGATCCCCAATACTGCAGGACCCCTTGGCCACATCACATCTCAGGCCCAAGCATTGAGCCTTCTGTAGAAACCCCTGAAATCAAAATTAAAAGGGGATCTCTATTACCTTATAGCCAGTATCCGACATGAAAAGGAATGCAAAAACATTATGAAAATACCAATTGTTATATATAATCTTGTTGTTGTTGTTATCAGAAACCCTAATGATGAAAAATATAGATCCATCCGGATTGGAAATGCAGCTTTCTCTACTAGACTCTTACCTGTCAGAGGAGCTGTTGAATGTTTATTTGAAATGGGCTTTGAAGAGGTAAGTATGTAATACAAGCATATTTTTCTCCCTAGTTCATGCATAAAGTATTCATTGCAGTGTTGATTGATAATTTTTAACTAATCAGTTTTTGGGATCTGTGGTACTGGTTGTTCCTTCATTTTTCTGTACACTTTAAGTCTCAATAAATATAGTTTAAAATCAGTGTAATGTAATAGCTCTCCCACAGGGAAAATTTGTACATCACAATCCTTTAGTATAGGGAAGGCCAAATTGTGTTTTACTTTAGGGTTTTGGCAAAACCCCAATTTGTGATCCTATCTGAACACTAATAGAATCTGACCACCTACCCAGTAAGAAATGGAAAGAGTTTGATGTATAAATAGCTAAGTTTAATTACTACATGTAGAGGTTTTCTTCTTTGTGGAAGAGTCTCTGATAGTTTCCGTGTTGTGGTTAAAGGAAAAATGAACTTCCACTTGTGAATTTTATAAGTTGGCTTAATTTTACAGCACAAAGTGGTTGTTGAGGCTGGAGCAATAATACAGCAAGTTGAACATATGCCTTGCACACATCAACCCAGGTACAATCCCCAGCACCCTATATGGTCCCCTGTGTACCGCCAGGAGTGATCCTTGAGCACAGAGCCAGGAGTAAGCCCTGAGTACCACTATGTGTGGCCCAAAAGCCAAAAAGGAAGAAGAAATCATTTTCAAGATTTTGGAGGTTGGGAATAGCCATAGCTATTTATTCTTGGATGGCTACTCCCAACTCAGTGCTCAGGGTTCACTCTGGGTAGTGCTCAGGGAATCAAACAGTGCTGGGAATCATACCCACACTCCCACATGCAAAGCATGTGCTACAGCCCTTTGAACCATCTCCCAAGCTAAAGATTATCTGTCTATGCTTTGACAATTTCTGACTTACAGTAAGAAATACAGAAACTGCTAGAGAAAAATGCTAGGTTACCAACAGCATGCACTTTTCTTCCTGCCTTTCTGCTTTCTTTCAGATTGTATTCCTTGCCCTGGGGACACATTAGAGAATTAGATAAATTAAGATCCCTTTTTATTTGGAACTTGCATTCTAGCAGACCAGACACAATAAATATGAACTGTCATCCCATTGTACATCTAGTTGCTTGAGCGGGCGCCAGTAACATCTCCATTTGTCCCTGTCGCATGCTAGTGTAGCCCAGTAGCATCTGCTCGCTCCAAGAACATAAAGTGAGACTTGTTACTGGTTTTGGCATATCGAATATGCCACAGGAAGCTTGCCAGGCTCTGCCATGCCGGCCAGATACTCTCGGTAGCTTGCCGGGCTCTCCAAGAGGGACAGAGGAATTGAACCCAGGTTGGGTTCGATTCCCAGCATCCAATATGGTACCCTGGGTATGGCCCCAAAACAAAAACAGTTGTAGTGGTGGGCAATTTCATAAGATGTGTAGTTCAGGAAAGGCATCTGAGGAGAACATTTCAGCTGGGACCTGAGTAAGAAGAAGTAGTTTTGCTTAAATACAAGGATTTGCATTTGCAAAGAGCTCCTAGCAGAGTAACAGGCAGAGACATAGTGCTTTGAGGATTATGGCAAAGGCTTGAATTTTATTCTAAATGTAATGAGAAGGCATTAGAAGATTTTTATTATTTTTGTTTGTTTTTGTTTTGGGGCCATACCCCTGGTGTTCAGGGCTTACTCCTAGCTCTGTGCTTAGGGATTACTCTTGGCCGACTTGGGGGACCACGTGGGGTTCTGAGAATCAAATCTAGTGACCGCATGTAAGGAAAACACCCTCCCCACTGTACTATTGCTCTGGTCCCAGAAAGCAAGAATATTTTAGAGGTTACCCTAGCTGTTATAAAGAGAATATTCTGGTGTGGCATTAAGGGATCAAAAGAGATCATTTAGAAAGATTCAGTAGTCTCAATGAGAAGTGGAATCAGATTTTCAAAGTTCTATGTGGGTAGGACTTTTTTATTTTCTGTTTCCTATATTACTAATTTCTAGAATCGTGCCTAGGTACATTTAGGCTTTGAACATTTTCTTAATACTGATACAGTAGTGGACACAAAGGAAAAAGAGGAATCCAGGATTTTTGTTTGAAGTAAAATCTACATTTGCTTATGAGTTGCATGTGGAGTTTAAGGGAAAGAAAGGGACCAGGAATGATTAAATTTGGTTTGAGCAGCTGAGTGAGTGGTGGTAATATCGTTATTAATATTAATAGTTAATAGGGATTATAACTAATCTTAATTATTAAGAATGAGAAGTCTTGGGGAAATCAGATATAAAGGGGGAAAGTCATTGCTAATTTGGGTCATGAGTTTTGCTCAGAGATGGCTTCTGTACATTGCTCAGGTCTTGCTCCTGTGGTACTTGGTGGATCACATGGTATGTGCAAACCATGTGCACTTGCCCTCTGAATTATTTCTTCAATGGTATGAAATATTCACATACATGTGTTAAGTAGATAGATGAATATGAGTGTATAACTCAGTGACACCTTATAAAAGTATGAGTTACAAGTTATGTTACTGCTTAGAGTTCACAGACATTTAAACACAGTATTTAAAACTCTAGTGGGAAAGTTGAAACACTGATGATTCTGTTCAAGGAATGCAGATTTGGGTTAGGGATGTGGCTTAATCATTAAATACATGAGCTGCATGTGAGGTTCTGGATTTGATGCCTGGCACCTCAAAAAACTTTTTTTTTTAATTTAAAGGCAGATTTTCAAGCATTAACAGAAAAATTAGCAAAGTGACAATCAGAGACTGCTTATTTATTTTATTTTTGATTTTTGGGTCACACCCAGCGATGCTCAGGGGTTATTCCTGGCTCTGCACTCAGGAATTACTCCTGGTGGTGCTTGGGGAACCATATGGGACACCAGGGATCGAACCCAGGTCAGCCGCGTGTAAGGCAAACACCCTACCCACTGTGCTATCGCTCCAGCCCTGAGACTGCTCATTTATTATTGTTTCATGTCATAGACTCATGGGACTCAGATTTCTTTTTTAGCAAATGTTTATGAGGTAAGGAGATACTGTCCAGTTTGCCGGGATCCATCCTGGGTTTAGTCCTGCATCCCAGAAAATCCCCAAGGCTCTGGCAAACCAGAAGGTTAGTCATACCAGTGCCAGGAGACTGAGACTAATAATATTTAATTCAAGTACAATGACAGTTTCAGGTGACTCCACTGGCCCTCTGCATAGGCCTGTGAACCTTATCTGGAAACATTCCTGTATAACCATTTTGGCCTGGGGCGGGGGGGAGGGGGGAGAATGACAGTTTCAGAAAAAACTGATTAGATGATGCTTTGATAAGACTAATTTAGGGCCAGAGTGATAATACGGCAGGTAGGACATTTCCTTGCATTTAGCCATCCCTTGGTTACATCCTCAATAACACAGGTTTCCCGAGCCCTGTCGGGTGATCGATGTAGAGCCAGGAGTTAGCACAGAGCGCCACCAAGTGTGACAGAGTAATGAACAAAAAGACTAATTTATACCTAGTTTCTAAGAAAGCAGACTTCAAGATGTGGTATCTTAGGGCCTATCTAAATTAAATGCTATATCAGTATGCTTGGAGATCTCAGCCCCGGGTCCCACACACCTGGGTTCCTCTGTCAGTTCTTTTATGCGTGAGGCTCATCCAAGTGTGTGGAGAGTGGTCCCAGCATGGCCTTGGCTGGGCCTCGGTGGTCTTCAGCTGTTGGGCCCTGGTGGAGACAGTCAGGCATAGGGTAGGAGACCTGCACAGTTTGGGACTGGACCTGCCAGTAACTAGACAGTTATACCCACCAACTGCCGTGTAACTCCAACAACGGCCAGGATCCAGAGATCATCACACTCAGCTCCTGGGAGAGAACAAGGCAGAGTCTCCTACCCTATGCCTGACTGTCTCCACCAGGGCCCAACAGCTGAAGACCACCGAGGCCCAGCCAAGGCCATGCTGGGACCACTCTCCACACACTTGGATGAGCCTCACGCATAAAAGAACTGACAGAGGAACCCAGGTGTGTGGGACCCGGGGCTGAGATCTCCAAGCCTGCACAGTTTGGGACTGGACCTGCCAGTAACTAGACAGTTACACCCACCAACTGCCGTGTAACTCCAACAACGGCCAGGATCCAGAGATTATCACACCCAGCTCCCGGAAGCGCGTGGCCGCATTTGCGGCCGCGCGACATCTTATCATCTCATTCCTAATTTGGTCAAACTGGCAGGCTACCAAATGTAACATGCCCACACGGCAGAGTCTGGCAAACTCCCCGTGGTATACCCAATATGCCAAATACCAGTAACAATGATGGGTCTCATTCTCCTAACCCTGAAAAAGCCTTGAATATGGCACTTTAAAAAAAAAAAATCTCAGGGCTAAGACGAAGAAGACGTTACTGGCACCTGCTCGAGGCAATCGACGAACAACAGGGTGGTCATGATCATGATCAGTATGCTTAAGTTGCAGGAGGAAGTAACAGCTGAAATTGAACTCTTCCGCTATAATAGAAATGTGTTTGAGGTGAGGTAGGAATTGAGGACTCTTCTGGGCCAAAATGATAGCTCAACAGACTGAGTACGTTTTTTGCATGGGAAGACTCTTTCAGTCCCCAGCACCAGGTAGTTGGGGCCAGGAGTAGCCACTGAGCAATACATAGGTGACCCAAAAAATAACCAGAAAAAAAAAGACCTATCCTGTACTTAGAAATATGTGTTAAAATTCTGGACACATTGTTTCCCATTTACTACTGGGACTGGAATTTTTTTTAATGCTAATTCTGAGATAGAATGATAAAGAGTGAAATCCAAACTGAAAATACGATCCATTCAGTTTGCTGACCAATTTACCAGTTTACTGACCAGTTTAATAACCGTTGGCCATTAGAGGTGGTCCATTTTGGTTCTCAGTGACTAGAAGTTACTGCCAGAATTTTGTGGATATAGGCTACAAGTTTGTGTTACATCCATTACTGAGCATTGGCTTAGGATACTAGGAGTCCCAGCTTATTTCTTAACAATGTTATTGAATCAAAGCCTGTATTAAGCCTTTAATCTTGTCCGTTCATGAAAACGCAGTGCTATTATTACAGTATTTGTACAGGCATGTTGCCATGATCATCTTACTCTTTTAGGGCTGCTCATGAAAACATGGAAGGAAGGGAATAGGGCAGAGACAGCCTCTCTCTTACCAGGGCCCTCTCAGAGGTGTGCTCTGTAATCTGGATCCAGACACCTAATGTGCTTTTTTTTTTCTGTACCTAACCATGGTGTTGTGTTTTCTCACTAATAAAATAAGAAACCTTCACATTTGCCTTTAAACCAGATGTCTGCTTTCTCTTTCCTGGACCTCATCACAGAGATGAGATAACTTTATTTAGGAAAAGGCTGTGTTCTGTTTTGAACAGTCAGCTAGTATGTAATCATCACAACTGTAGAAATAGTCCCTTTTTGCCAGTCCTCCCCATGACAGGCTCACCTTGGAGATTTTTTGGGTTTATTCCCAGACCAGATATCCAGTAAGGGGAATACCACAAATATTTTGATTTCTAGTCTATATAAAAGTTATGCTTAGAACCCCATCAGAAAAAGGGGCGATGAAATGAACAGAAACTTTATCAAAGAAGATATCCGAATGGCCAAAAGGCACATGAAAAAATGCTCTTCATCACTAATCATCAGGGATCTGCAGATCAAAACAACAATGAGATATCACCTCACACTAGAGACTGGCCCACATCTGAAAGAACAAAAGCAACCCATGTTGGCACAGATGTGGGGAGAAAGGGACTCTCCTTCACTACTGATGGGAATGCCAGCTGGTTCAGCCCTTTTGGAAAACAGTATGGATGATTCTCAAAAAATTAGAAATTGAGCTCCCATTTGATCCAAATATACCACTTTTGGGGATATATCCTGGAGAGGCAAAAATGACATCTGCACTTGTATATTCATTGCAGCACTGTTTACAATAGTCAAAATCTGGAAAAAACCCGAATACCCGAGAACAGATGACTGGTTAAAGAAACTTTCGTACACCTACACAATGAAATACTATGCAGCTGTTAGAAAAGATGAAGTTGGAAGAGCCCTGAGGAGGTGCCAGGAGGCCTGCCACAAACCTGGGTGCAGTGTGGTAACCGCACAGAGCAGCCTCCACAACCCCTGTCCAGAGGAGAGCTAGGTTCCCCCAGCTGTAAAGGCCAGCAGCTCTCTCTCAGCCTGGTATCAGTCTCAACATCAGAAAACAGGCAGAGATAAGACTAGGGTGATAGTACAGCAGGTAGGGCACTTGCCTTGCATGCAGCTGACCCAGACTCTATCTCTGGCATCCCATATAGTCCCCCAAGCACCACCAGGAATAATTGCTGAGTGCACATCAGCAGTAACCCCTGAGCATCGCCAGATGTGGCCCCAAAACAGAAAACAAAAACAAAACAAAAAAAAAGATGAAGTCATGAAATTTGCGTATAAATGGATCAACATGGAAAGTATCATGTTAAGTGAAATGAGTCAGAAAGAGAGAAAGAGACATAAAAAGATTGCGCTCATCTGTGTAATACAAAGTAATAGAATGGGAGACTAACACCCAAGAATAATAGAGATAAGGACCAGGAGGTTTACTCCACGGCTTGGAAGCCGGCCTCAAATGCTGAGGGAAAAGGCAATTCAGTTAGAGAAGGGAACACCAAGTGAAGGGTATTTGTAGGACCAGCGCGGGTTGGGAGATGCAAGCCGAATGTAGACTATAGATCAAACACAATGGCCACTCAGTGCCTCTAGTGCAAACTACAGCACCCAAAGGAAAGAACAGAAGGGAATGCCCTGCTACAGAGGCGGGGTGTAGGGGGAAGGAGGGGGGTGGTGGGAGGGATATTGGGATCATTGGTGGTGGAGAATGGGCACTGGTAGAGGGATGGGTACTCAATCATTGTATGGCTAAAACACAAGCACAAAAGTTTGTAAGTCTGTAACTGTACCCCACAGTGATTCACTAATATTTTTTTTTAAAGTTATGTTTACATTACACTGCAGTTTTCTTGGTGTGCAGTGGCATTATATGTACAGAGAGGAAAAAACATAGCATGTGTAGGGTTGTGTACTATTCTCAGTTTCAGGAATCTAGTATAGGCCTTGCACTGTAATCCCCCACACGTAAGTAAGAGGGCTACTGTATGTCAGATTATTCTGATTATATTTTAGGTATTTATTAAATGAATTACTACTTGAAATAGAGTTTTAGTTTTTTGTATGGATTACCATTCTGTTGTCCTTGGGCTAAGAGGGTATATTTTTTGTTACTGTAGAAAAAGGAGTAAGACCCATGTACAGACTTTTAGTCATCTGTTTAAAGAGTTGATTTATAAGGGTCCTAGGTCTTTATGTACTTTTATATTTGTTGTATGTGAACTTCAATCATTTTGTAGGCTACTTCTACTATTTATAGAATAGTAGTGTCGTACACTATTATAGAGAAGCTAGGAATAAATTTTTGCAACTCTATTTTTTTCTGTTTTCATTTATTTTATTATATTGTTATTGTTATTATTATTATTGTTTTCCCACCTTCCCCTTCACCCTGGCACTGGAAGTGATCCCTGAGCACAGTAGAGCCAGGAATAAACCCTGAGCACAGCCAGGCTTGGGGCTCGAACTTCAGTCGTCACATGAAAGGCAAGCACCTCACCCACCGTTCTATCTCACTAGACTTATTTTTTTCTAGCCTTTATGATACTTTATGACTTTTTAAAAATATAAATATTTTCTAAAGGTTTGTTGAACAAATAAAATAGTTAAATATTATGTGCTAATAATACTTTTCTTTTTATTTTTTGGTTTATGACTAAATATTACTTATTTCTGGCCATATTTTCTAATAGTAAGTGCCATACTGTTAGAAAATCAGAAGGATTGTTAAAATGTGTTCTGAAATATTGGCTTCATTTTATGTAATACATCTAGATGTATGTATGCGGAGTATCTGTATGTGAATATATTCAGTATGTACACCTGAATGTCAGTGGAAAGCGGAGGTTTAAGTGTTTTCCTTATTTTGTAAATTTCAGGGAGAAACACATCTTATCTTTCCTAAAAAAGCCTCAGTGGAGCAGTTGCAAAAAATTCGTGACCTAATCGCCACAGAGAGAAGTAGCAGATTGGATGGATCAAATAAGAGCTATAAAGTAGAATTATCTCAGCAATCAACAACTACTCCCCAGCTCCCTGTTCCACAGTCTTCAAATCCTCCTGGGTTAACCCAGCAAGCAGGGGACCACGGAGGGCAGCCATCAAATCCACCGTCTGCTTCAATGGTAATGTAGAATTAAACCTTACTTCTCCCCTTTCAAAGTGTGGAAACGGCAAAGTTTAGAAATATGTTTCAGATTTATTCCTAATTGTATGCCTAGTTATTCTTGATTCTTAAAGGTAAAGGTAAAGGCCCTCCCGTTGATCATCGATTTGCTCGAGCGGGCCCAGTAACGTCTCCATTGGAGACTTTGTTGTTACTGTGTCTGGCATATCGAATACTCTCGGTAGCTTGCCGGGCTCTCCGAGAGGGGCGGAGGAATCGAACTCGGGTCGGCCATGTTGGCCGCTTGTAAGGCGAACGCCCTACCCGCTGTGCTATGCCTACATTTCCTCAGCTCTTGAAAAAAAATTCCAGAAACTTAACAAAAGTGAGAAAATGTTAAGTCTTTTATTAATGTTTTATTACTTTTAAATCTTGATGTGTTGTTTTTGAAGTAACCAAAGTTTTATTTATCATTTGTACATCTACCTCTTGCCTTGGTTCTTAAATCAGTTACAATATCTAGTCAGGGAGTATTTACATCATTTTTTTTTCCCTTTACCTCACTGACAGATCCCATCTAACCTCTACATGCTGCCATTCACCAGGGGCATTATGACTTCCAAAAAATTAACCATTGTCAATGCCTTAATTCAGTTTAAAAAAAAGATCAGCTATTTCAGGTTTAAGTTAAATAATCGCTTACTTTCTGATAGTGGTGCTAATAAATTAGTTGTGCATAGTTATATACCTCTGAAGAACTGTGAGCATAGATATTCTTTTGTTTGCTTCTTTCGGTTTTTGCTTGGTTCTGTGCTCAGAGTTACTGCTATTAGTGCTTGCAGGAGAGACATTGTATTGTTGGAGATTGAATCTGGTTCTCATTTATGCAGAGCATTCCTCGCCATTGAGCTGCTACCCACAGAGATGTGTTTCTGAAGAACTGAAATGAAACAGGCATACTTGGACCATCTAAATGAACTTGCATAAAATAGGAAATTGTTTTGTTTGCAGAAATTCTTTTTGTTAAATGTCCTTAAACATTCTCTTAAATGTTTACTTTAGGAGAATTTCTATCATACTTTATATCAGTAGCATATTTAATTGGGCTGGAGCAATAGCACAGTGGGTAGGGCATTTGCCTTGCACATGGCTGACCCGGGTTCGATTCCTCTGTCCCTCTCAGAGAGCCCAGCAAGCTACCGAGAATATCCCGCCCACACGGCAGAGCCTGGCAAGCTCCCTGTGGCATATTCGATATGCCAAACACAGTAACAACCAGTCTCACAATGGAGACATTACTGGTGCCTGCTCAAGCAAATAGATGAACAACGGGAGGTCAGTCAGTCAGTGCTACAGCATATTTAATTCCATGTTTTAGTCTTAGTAAAACACCTGGATATTGTCATCCATATAGCAGAGAGTAAAGCCTACTCGAATTGGAGTCGAGCATCTTCCACCCAGATCCTCCAAATTCCAGTAGGCGGGGGTCACACCCACCACCTGGCCCCCTGGCGCCGTGTAATCCCATCAGCGGCCAAGACTCAGAGACTATAAAATCCAGATCCCGGACGAGAACAGTGCAGTCTTTTGCCCCGCGCCTGGGTGTCCCTCGCCGGGACCCCTTGGAGGGGAGCGGGTCGAGCTTTCCTTCCCGCCCCGACCGGGGCTCCGGCAGCCGAAGACCTCCAGGACCAGCCACCACCATGCTGAGACCACTCTCCGCACACATGAAGGTACTGGCAGAGGGACAAAGCCACGCGGGTTCCGGGGCCGAGACCTCCAAGCCTACTCGAATTGGAGTCGAGCATCTTCCACCCAGATCCTCCAAATTCCAGTAGGCGGGGGTCACACCCACCACCTGGCCCCCTGGCGCCGTGTAATCCCATCAGCGGCCAAGACTCAGAGACTAAAAAATCCAGATCCCGGAACCACGCGGCCGCGAATGCAACATCTTATTATCTCATTCCTACTTTGGACAAACTTGCAGGCTGTCGAATGTAGCCTGCCCACAGGGCAGAGTCTGGCAAACTCCCCGTGGCCTACCAAATATGCCAAATACCAGTAACAATGATGGGTCTCATTCTCCTAAAGAGCCCTGAATATAATCTCAGGGCTAGGATGAAGGAGACGTTACTGGGGCCTGCTCGAGGCAATCGACGATTAACAGGATGATGAAATGATGATGAAATGAAATGAAATAGCAGAGAGTAAGTTTTTAAATCTGCCCTTAATCTATAGCTGAGTCCCACCAGATTTTAACTTCCCATTCTTGATATTCACATAATTGGCAGTCATTTCTTTGTGTAGATTGGCACAAACCTAATTTGCCTCTAAAGCTTTAAGAATCGGGGTGAGAACGATAGTACAGCAGGTAGGATGTTCGATCTCTGGCATCCCATATATGGTCCACCAAGCCTGCCAGGAGTGATCCCCAAGCACAGCCAGGAGTAAGCCCTCAGTATCACTGAGATGACACACCCCACCCCCCCACCCTACCCCCACCCCCGCCAAAAAGAAAAAAAAATAAATGTAAAAGGACCAGATGGGGAAAAATTTACATATATATGTATGTATATATATATTTGTATGTATGTGTAATATGTATATATACATATATATCAAATACACCACGAGTAGCTTGCCAGGCTCTGTTGTTATTGTTATATGCAAATAACAGTAACAATAATGGGCCTCATTCCCCTAACCCTGAAAGAACCCCCAGTATGTCATTGGGCTATGCTAGCATGCGATAGGGACGAATGGAGTCGTTACTGGTGCCCACTCGAGCAAATCAGTGATCATCGGGATGACAAGTGACAAATGATATTTTTTATATGTATATATATATATACATACATATATATATACATACATATATATATACATACATATATATATATATACACACACACACACACACACATTTGTTTATTATTGTGTTTGGGAGGACCTTTCCTGGTGTTGCTTGAGGAACCAATGTGGTTTAAACTCAGGACTTTCCTGTACAATGCATGCTTCCTGCTCTTTAAGCCTTCTGCCTTGCCCTGTGGAATTTTTTTGATTGGTTTTCAGACTTTTGTAGAGGATTAAAATACATTTCTTTGCCATTTCCTTAAACAACTTAAGTTAAATAGTCTTTAAAATAAACATTTCCCCTCTCAGTAGTTTCACAACTAATGTTAAGCTGTAGTAATAATAAGCATGGACTTTAGGAAAAGCTGTTAATAGACATTGTTGGATCAGCTAGCATTGGTACTAAGTGACTGTGGACACCAGATAAGCGAGCATATATTAAAGCTACATTGGGGCTGGAAAGATAGTACAATGGGCATAACGCTTGCCTTGCACGTGGCTGACCCCGGGTTCAGTCTCCAGCATTCCATATGGTTCCATGAGCACTACCATGGCTGATCCCTGAGTGTAGAGCCAGGAGTAAGCCCTGAGCACCACAGGATGTGCCTCCCTCCAAAACAAAACAAAACCTTTGTAAATTGTTCAGAACTTTAAAGATTTTCCTTTAGTAAAAATGATTCCTTCTCTAAGTAGATGTGCTGATTCATTTAGTTCATTCTATTACCACAAAGTAACAGAAAAATGGGGTTACTTTAACTCATTATGATTTTTTTTTGGGTGGGGGATGGTTGTGCCCAGGGGCTATTTCTGGTTCTAAGCTTAAAAGTGACCCTTGCATGCTCAGGAAATCATGTAGGACTCGAACTAGGGATGCAGCCAATGCATCTGCATGCAAGACAAGTGCCTTACTTCCTGTACTAGTTCTCTGGACTCTGTAGTTCTTTTATTGTTGAGCACATATCCAGCATTGCTTGGGATTTAATCCTGGCTTTGAGCTGAAGAATCAGGGGACCATATATGATGCCAGGGATCGACCCCAGGTCGTCTGTATGCAAGGCAAGTGCCTTAATCTCTGCTCTGTTCCCAGTTCTCCTCCACTCCTGTGGCCCATGCACATCTTAAGAAAATGTTGAGCAGATAGCCCACTGTCTCTTGATTTTCAAATGACGTATTTTTATACTAAATGTACCTAATTGACTTTCAACGTGCTGCTGTGCTTTATTTTTCTATAAAAAGACGGTATAGGTCATATAAGTTGGGAAGGTAAAAATCAACAAAGTAGGCTGGAAAAATAGCACAGCAGGCAAGACGCTTACCTTGTTTGTGGCAGACCCAGATTTGATCCATAGTGGTGTACTGATTAGTGCCAGGAGTAACTCCTGAGCACAGATCCAGGAGTAAGTCCTAAGCACAGTTAAGGTGAACCCCATTCTCCCAGTGTATGTGCATCCCCCACACCCCACCAGGAGTGTTTCCTCAGTGCAGAGTCAGGAATAACCACTGAGCATAGTTAGCTTGGGAGACCATAGGGGATGCCAGGAATCAAAACCTGGCTGGCCCGTGCAAGGGCAAGCACCCTCTCTGCTCCGCTGTATCTTTCCTGCCTCCCCCGAAATAAAATATGCCAAAGTTACATAGCAAGAAAGAGATTTCAAAAGCATTTAATTTGCTTATAAGCCAGCTGAATTATGAACACTGGTGAACCTTATAATTACTGTAGGATATTTTTGCTCAATACCTATTCAAGTAAAATTTTGAAATGTAAGACAGCTAGTAGTTGCAACATTGGAGTTTTGCAATATACCTTTCCTCTATGGTATAATTTACTGGAATATATTATTGATTAGATGGCGATGGTAGTTAGAAACTACCTTTACTGTACATTTCATATAAATAGAATTTATATAAAATTACAAGGAGATAGTCTTTTTCTTCTATCTTTTACTTTGCATGATTTTTAAAATGTATCCATATTGTAGGATATTTTTATTTCTTTATTAATATTCAATAGCTAGTGGGTTATTTTCCATGTTTGCTTATTATGAATAATCATGCTGTGAACAGTCACATATAAGGCTTTGTGTGGAAATATGTTTTTATTTCTCGAGTAGATTCTTAGGAGTGGGAACCACTGGGTTATATGGTAAGTTTATGTTTAATGTTTTA